GTGTATAAATAGAGGAATCCTAACCTAGTGTATTTTAAGTTTTTCACAATTGTAAAATTAGGGGAAGTATAAGTCTTAGGTTTTGAGAGTCTCTCATGCATATTATAAGTCACTCATGTATCTTATGATACTATGTGGTAGACAAATTATTACTTGACAGTTTGTCAAGTTATTGTTCTCACTCAAAGCTTTTAAGCAAGAGTTTGAGTTATTGTAATGAAAGTATGATCTTCTAAGTTAGGTTGTTTTTGTTGCAATTATTGGGAATGTGTCTGTTAGATATCACTAAGGTGATTTAATATGTGAGATGGAGATTTCTCTGACTTAGGGATGACCTAAGTCGAAGTTGCATTGAGTAATGATTAGGCGAGAAGTTGTAAACTTGGGACTAGTTTACCTTTGAACTAATGATGCTGATAGTGAATTTCCTTTCTGGCTTGGTAGCCTTCAGAGTAGGTGATGTTGCACCGAACTGGGTTAACAGCTCATTGTGTTATTTATCATTCCACAAATTTATTTTCTATATCATATTCATCTTAATTGATCTGGTTTGTTACCAGATGTTGTAAAACCTGTCTCGACATCATCTACTGTTAAGACAATTTTGTTGGTATGTGTTGCATGTACCAGAATTTCATTTAGGTTATTTTCTTTGAGAAATACATGCTTTAAAAATGTTTTAGTAAGTGTGTGATTTAACCATGTTACTTTACGAGATCATATAAGCACCCCATGAGAGCTTTCACACTTTCTCTCTTTCAGACTCTGAAGCTTCAAGACTTGTTGAATACTTCAATCATATAAGCACTTGCTTAAATATTCTTGAAGACGAGGCGTAATATATCGTCAACTTGAATGCCATCATCAGTGGTCATTAAACCATAATTCATCATCAACTTGATTCAGAGGAAGAGATTTTTTTCTTCTGATAAATAGAGGAAGGGCTTTGAATAAACCTTCTTATGCATTTTTGATAGCTTGACATACTTATTTGTCTCTTATGCTTCAAGATTAGATTGAGTCTCCATAAATTGTCATCAAAGATTGCATCTTCACAAGTTATTTTATTCACAAGTTGTCATCGATGAAACTAAGTTGTCATCATTAAAATCAAACCATGACAATTATTACTTGCTTAGCTTTGATCACTTCTTAATTGAACCTGTAAACACAAGGCCCAAAAATTTCAGAGGTTAGATTTATAATAACTTGTTTAATGGGAGCTAAACATAGAGTAATATACTAAAATGCAAACATTAATGATAACCTTATTAATATTTAACTACATAAATATATAGCTCATGACGAGTTTAAGAAACAAAATAAAAATATAATGTATCATCAAAAAACTAATTACAACAATACTCCATCCGTTTAAAATGAGTATCGTTTTAGAGGAAAAAATTTGTTTCAAAATAAATGTTATTATCACTTTTCAATTTAATAATGATAACTATTTTTCCAGTTGTGTCCTATAATTATTACTATGCACACTACTTCCAATAAACTAATAATACTAATTTAGTAAAAGTGCAACTCTCCTGACAATATGATTGCATTTCTTAATCTGCGTACAAAAACCTTAAACGACACTCATTTTAAAACGGATAGAGTATTTAACAAATATTAAGAGTTACAAAAGAGGAAATATAAAGTAAATGCATCAACTCACATTAACAAATCCTCTTTTTTTGGAAGCAAAGAGGGCCTAAGCCCATAAACAAATAAAACTAAACAACAACTATTCTAGGAGACAAATCCTCACTATTATCTCTCTCAACTAAGCACTCTATGTGAGCCTTCACACTTCCTCTCTTTCATACTCTGAAGCTTCAAGACTTACCGAATACTCCAATCATATAAGAACTTGCTTGAATATTCTTGGAGATGATACTTAAGATATCCCCAAGTTGAATGTTTCCATTGGTGGTCATTAAAACCTACTTCATCAACTTGATTCAGAGGAAGAGCTTTGAATAAATCATCTGACATACTTGTTTGTCTCTTATGCTTCAACATTATATTGAGTCTCCATAAATTGTCATCAAAGGTTGCATCTTTACAAGTTATCATCAATGAAACTAAGTTATCATCATACATATAAAACTATGACAATCATGACTTACTTAGCTTTGATCACTTTTTGATTGAACCTGTAAACACACAGTTCCACAGATTTTGAAGGTTGAATTTATAACAATTTGTTTAAGAAGAGATAAACACACACTAATATACTAAAATGAAAACATAAATGATAACCTTATTAACATTTAACTATATAATGATATAGATCATGACAAATTTAGGAAACAAAATAAAAGTGTAATATATCATCAAAGAATTAATTACAACAATATTTAACAAATATTAAAAGTTACAAGAGAGGAAATATAAAGTGAATTGATAATAGTTATATGAGTTGCATCAACTCACATTAGCTAATCCTCTTTATTGTCCCAAATCTTTAACAAAGAACTTCAATGATTCCAAAACAAAATGGATGAAGGTTGTTGATGGTGGAATGTAATGAGAGTCTAGGAATGACAACTAAAGTTGCTTGGAGGCTTAAACATTAAGGCTGGAATGTCTTTCTTTTCTATTATGTGAGTATTTTATCCTTATATAGATGATATGTCATAATACATTATTTTTCTTGAATTTTAAACTTTTCTCATTCTTCAGTAAAGATTTAATTGACCAATTATCCAAATTGTTGAGACACCTCATTAATATCATTAAATTATGAAAGAAATTATGGGTCTCACTTTTGAAGATTAAATTTATGAAAGAAAATAAATTATTTTTTTGATAAAGAAAAGAACGGACCACCCATTTAGAAGATTATTTTTAAGTTATAACTATTTTTGACGATTTATGTATTTTTGACGATTTGTGTTCAAAGAAACCTTTTATGAGATATATATTTATGAGTACTTCTCACACTAAGATAAGTCTGTGTTTAGTCAATGTCAAGTGCAATATTGATACTATAATCACATATTTTTTTGCTGAAGTAATGCAATTGATTGAAGTCTAGTACGTCATGAAAGAGGCATCAATATTTAGTCTAAAGTAATCACATAAGTGAGATAGATATTACATATTAACCAAAAGTCGTAAAATATTAGATTTATGGGTTTAGAAGGATTGACTACTCAACTACGATATATTAGTAATGAAATTGATTGAAGATCTGAAATCAACTATGATACATTTCATATAAGGCACACAAGTTTGGAATCATCGGCTACTCTTGGTTTCTCTCTTGTCAAGTGGTGGCAAGTAAGGTTCATGAAGATGATGGATTCGAAAGTTGTCAATTTTGGACAACATTAAGCTTTTTATTCGGAAAATTTGTCATAAATCCATCCTTATTAGATCCATTTGAATCATATAAGTGTTTATGTAAATACCTCTCGCTCTTACTTTAGAAATGTAGACAAGTCCATTGTTTATTGTGTAGCCAACTTCCTTTATGCGTATTTTATTTGGAGGGGTTGTGAGTTGGAGATGCACTCAAACTCTTCTTAAATATTGACTTAGATATCCTCTTGAAAGCAATATATAATTTGGTGATGGATCTAGGTATTATTTCTACTTTGATCATGTAAAATATTTGGTGCTCCTGAACAAACTAGTTTATGAAGATCAACCAATAATGTTGAGTTTGACAATAGTCACTTTTTTTTTTACAAATTCAGATGATCGATAAGTCTTTAGTGTCATGACTTCAACTCTTATCCGTCGATCTTTTAGAGAGATCTTTAATGACAACATGAAACGCTGAGACTATGATTTTTAATATAGATGGTAACGTTTTTATAAATCTAAAAAAAAGAATTATTTTAATTTATCTTCTACATAGTATAAGAATATCTAATGTATAAAATTCCTGTGATTAATATTCAACTTTGTTAAGAGACATATTGAGACTCCTTTCATGCAATTCAATTGAATTAAATTGGTGCCTTTTATAAAAAATCAGTCTAGTTTTTTATATATATTTTTAATCTATCCAAATAAAAATTCTTTTAATTGATTACTACTAGTATATTTAACATGAAATAAGTCTTTTAAGTAGAGGTGATAATAATGGTAAAATACTTATTAAGAAGAAAATAGGAAAACAAAAAATGAAAAAATAAATTGTGACTATTGATTATCATCACTATTCCATAGTTTCTATTAAAAAAAAATCAAATTTAAAATTAATTTAAAGTTCACCTCTAAAATAATGAATACATGCATTCTTCCATTTTTTCTATAAATTATTTCATACTAAATAATGTACGGTTAAAAAGATTTATTTTGACTTGCAGCAGATAAACGCTCCCTCTGTCTCTCTGATCTCATTCCCCTTTTCGTAACCGACCCAATTCGCCCCTTACTCCTTCAACCTCACATGCTTCTATCTTGTTGTTGTTCAGATCAAGTTACAATCTTCAATCCCTTCGTTCTTCTTCCCCTTTAAAATGTCTTATTTTCTATCTCCATCTTCATCAAATTCAAATCTCGCTCGCTTCTTGTTTCTGATTCAAAACTACTCCATTTCCTTGATGGATTTATTCAATAGTTTTATTTAATTTCACTTACTTTATTGTCTGATTATTCTCCTGTCTATTGCAGAATCTTATTTCATTGCTTCTATAGTGAATCACATTGCTAATTGTTGTAAGAAATTCATGCTCTTCACTGTACTTTTTGTTTTTTGGTTATCCAAATCGTATTGATTAAGTACTATGAAGAGGATTCAAACCACTGTCGTGGCCACCACACTCACACGCTCACACACGTCAACACCAGTAATTGATTGGAAAAATAAATAATTCAATGTAATCACTTGTGTTGACACAGACACCGACACACTTTTTTTTTCCACATGTTTGATGTCCGTGTTAGTTATAACTTGTTTTTCATTTTATGTTCTCTTATGTTATTTTTGTTATTTTACGTTCTCTTACTGTCACTTTTCTTTAGGTAATTTTGGCTCTTTCTTTACTATGGACGGTAATCACGGGGATCATTCGCGAATTCAGACTAGTGATGGACACCATCCTATACATATGTCATATGAACATCATGGATTGCACCATATGAGCAATGGGAATGGGATGGATGATGATCAAAATAACGATGATTCTAACTGCGGTGGAAGTGAAAATGCGGAAGGTGAAGTACCTTCCAACAATGGAAATCTTCATGACAATCAAAGTTTAGTAATGGATCAAGGGAATAATGATATTGGAGATCAGCTTAGTTTGTCTTTTCAAGGACAGGTTTATGTCTTTGACTCGGTGTCACCAGAAAAGGTTTATCAACTTATCTTAGCTTGTTACTCTTTCTATTAAAATCACATTGCCCCTCCTGTATAATCTTGCATGCATGATTCAGGCCTTAGCCATTATCATTTTCCAATAAATTAATCCAAGTATATTCAGTTTCATGACTCTTAGTTTCCATTTTTTTAAAAGTGACTCAAGTTCCAAGATTGTTGTGTATATGAAGATCTTTGCATGAATGTACATTATTAAATTGTTAAAAAAGTGATTATCGAGTTATAAATACCATGGTTATCAGTATCTTACAATAAATGCGTGTCTCGCTAGTGTGTATCTATTTGGAGATGAATCCCATCTTGAATTCTGATTCATTGTAATGAATAACCACCTAAGCTTTAGCATAGTTAACCACTTTTTTTATCAACTTTGTATAACCAACCACTTTTCTTTTGTCATTTGATATATGGCTTGAATCTTGAATTATTTCGAGGTTCATATATGATATATCAGCTTATAACTTTGTTATGTCACTTCTTTTTTTTTTTACTTAAAAATGGCATAATTTTATTAGCAATGTATCTTACGATTCATAATAAGGTCCAATTCACGATTTGGAAAAAAGGTCTTGCGATTCACGATTTGAATATTGATTTGATAACCATGATAAATAATGGGATCATTTTTGAGTAGCACACTTCATGTACATTTATTGATCCTTGATTGTCTACTTTGGAAATAAAATTCCATAGTGGGTTGGGTAAGGACAGCTATAGACAATGAAAAAATGATTTTTTTAAGCATGTTTGTTCTTCTTTTATCGTTTTTATACTTGGTCATTTTTGTTAATGAATTGAATCAAACGAGTAAGATTTTGTTCTAACCTGGTAACAATCCTGCTTCATAAGCACATGTATAGACTTAATTTTTCACAATTTTCTATGATTTTTGCATGTTTTTTTTTATCATATATAGTTTGCAATGTTTCATGCCTTTAGGTATGTGTTGCTATTGATCATAAAGAAAGCTTTGATCTAAGATAATTAATCATTTGATCCAGTGTTAATCTAGCTATGGAGTATTCCCTACATGGGGTTTTTATTCTAGAAAATAATTTATAATAATCCTAGGTGTCATTGTCAGGTTCAATCTGTACTTCTGTTACTCGGAGGCCGTGAACTACCTCCAACCGTACCTTCCATGCCAATTTCTCCTGACGAAAATAACCGGGTATTACTACATTATTTGGTTGGAGTGTGATTGATAGTCTTTTGCTAGTCAAATATCTGGCTCATGAACCATTTTATTAGGGATTTACTGGCACTCCACAAAAATTCAGCGTCTCTCAAAGATTAGCTTCTTTGATTAGATTTCGTGAAAAGCGGAAGGAGCGAAATTTTGACAAAAAAATTCGTTATACTGTTCGCAAGGAAGTAGCACTAAGGTATGGTGCTTACTATCTACAAAGTTCCTTACGCTATAAAGTATGGTATAACTCAGCAAATTTAATATGGGGATTTGAAGAATGAGTATTCAGAAACAAAGAACTTAGTGTTTTGGCATTTTTAATTTTTTTCTAAATGCTAGAGATCTGTTTTTTAAGATTGTAAAAGAAAACTGTAAGAAAATTATTGGATCTATATTCTCTTATGATTATTAGTTGAAATTGAAATGAAAATGAAAACAGGAAACATGGAAAGTAAATGGACCCTAGCATTCCAATGGAGTTCTGCCTTAACACCGTATGTAATGATCGTGTTATGTTATAGCCCTGGCTTTCTTAAAGTAGTGTAATAGTAATAATATCGTGAATATATGATATCACTCAAGTTTATAGGCTGAGTTGATGATGCGTGCTTACTATTATATGCCTAAATCCACGTCCTGGCCGACGTTATTGTTATATTTGCACTACTTGCTAACAAATGCAAGAAAATTTTGTAGGATGCAAAGAAATAAAGGCCAGTTTACATCTTCCAAGTCCAATCATGATGAGTCTGAAATAAATTGCGGAACAAATGAAGGGTTGATGGTAGACAATAATGGATCCCAACAGCAAGATACTGTGTAAGTTGACTGGTTCATTTTTAACAAGGAAGAAAAACTGAATCAGTATTCTAATCTTGATATTATGGTTGGCTTGATAGCTTGAAAATAAACCCTTATTTGGAACCGTTTTTACCTATACTGAAATCTCTTGTATATCATTTGATAAATGGTGTTTCTTTCAATTCTTATCAGTTGTAGGCACTGTGGCATCAGTGAGAAGAGCACGCCAATGATGCGACGTGGACCTGAAGGGCCAAGAACCCTCTGCAATGCTTGTGGACTTATGTGGGCAAATAAGGTAAATGCGATCTATGTTAATCCCTCGAGCCAGTTGCTTTGTTTTTCCTATGTTGCACTATGAAATTTATTATTATTGTCAGAAAAACTATCGGAAAGGTCCATGTCTCTGGTTTATTTCCTTCCATTTTATCATCTGATATCTTGATACTTATTTATTAATGCAAGTATAAGCTAATTCATCACAAAAGGTGAGATACATATACGGGATTGACGACACTTGGGAAAGAGTTATGCATGTGATTGCCAATAAAATAGTTCATTTAAATTATCTCAAGGAGTACTGTTACATTGTACCTTTCAGCAAAAATTTGTGCCTTTTGATTTGGTTCATTTATATGTTTTCATTTTCTGAACCACAGGGAGCTCTTAGGGACCTATCAAGGGCCACAACCTTGCCAGCACACAATTCTCCATTAAACAAGAATGAGGTTGGAATTCTTGCATTCATTAAATTTATTTTGATGTGTCTCTTACCAACTTAGAAACTTAGATTCACATATTAAACTTTTCTATTAACTGTGGATGACTTTCAGAGTCAAAATTTGGAGAGCAATCAGATAGTGCTTAGAGATGCTGCTGAATCATCATGACAGACTTATATTTTGATTTCAATGGAGGGCAGTTTCATAAAACAAGGGACATAGTAGAGAGTGTTTTCCCTTTGATGAGAAATTATAGGCAGTCTAGTTAGCGCTGTTTAAATGAGCATTATGTATTTGATTTCATAATATCATGATTTCATAATATCATACGGCTAGTTCCTTTGCAGATTTTGATTGAGTAGCCAAACATGACCAATGACAGAACTTAGCTAATTTTATTGAGGAAACCGTAATGCAAATTCATACATCATATGTTGGTATAGTGGTAGTTTTATCATAGTTCTCCCTCTGGGTTCAAATTCTAGTTGTAACATTTTTGTGAAATAAAACAATACAAATACAAAAATTGGTGCTTACAGACTCAAACTCACAATCCATTAGTAATTTGCCTTTGGGGTAGTTGGGATGGTCATAACAACCTGTACCCCAAGAAGAACAGCTACTGCAAAAATATCCTATGCACTCTAGTATGCAGTTTATATACACACTGCAATGGTGCAGTACAGTATATTGTATTTTGAGAAATTTGGTCTTGTTTAAATTTATTGTATTTTGAGAAATTTGGTCTTGTTTAAATTTATTGTATTTTGAGAAATTTGGTCTTGTTTAAATTTAGAAGAGGATGATGGTAAAGGTTTAGGCCAACTTTATAGAGTTTTTTTTGTTGTTGAAGGAAATGGCCCAGTTCTTCAACACATACACAAACAAACTTTGGAGTTTGGAGGAATTATCATCCAAATTTTGTGTAGGGAATGATCAAAACCTGCAACAGAAGCATAACCATTGTGCTCTATGTTAACCAAAAGTTCAATTCACACAATGGCAAGACATCCTTAATATAATATAAATATATCCAACTTCTCATATTATGATACAACAATCTCAAGACCTTTTTTTAGACTCTAAAACTTCAGACTTAAGGTGCAGTCTGTCCACATAAAATAAAGCCTTGAGTTAGGCACTGAGCAGAGTGAATTTGATCTTGCGTTCCTGATACAATCACCTGCCCTTCTGTAGCACCAGGTTTTGGATCGTGAACAACCACATTTGCACCAGAGATCTGAGGATCAAGATACTCCAAAAGTCAAAGCACTAAAAAGACAATAAGAAATGAATAAAAAATCAGATATAAACAAACCTGTCGAATTTGATTTAGGTTGCTACTGTTCTCCCCATACACATGGATTAAATATATATGAGGGATGGTGATCTCAACGGTTGAGCTATTTAGATTCTGTAATGGGTTTCCATTCCTGAAAATAATATACAAATCACGATAATGTATAAGGTAAAACAGTTTGATCTATGTTGAAGCAGCTAACAAGAACTTGTATAAGATATATGGTCAATTCAAAAGGGTAAAAGCCCTAAACTCACATTCCAGCTGTTATCCCTGGATTTCCTCTGTTAGGTGCCTGAAATACGAAACCTAAGGGGTTAAAGCATAGTTCTTGAATTCACACGGTATGCGCTATGCACAAGAAGGGGGCAGAGGAAAAGAGATGAAACACCCTACCCTCCAAGAAAAATGCTCAGACTATATATACTATCCCTGAATGTATAGCTGACCTGAGTATTCCATGATCTGGGAGAATTAGGTCCTTCATAGCCATGAGGATAAGGAACTCGGTCCATATTTGGCGGACCGCGGCCCATACCATGTGAATATGCATGCTGACGATGATGATCAACAGGCATGGGGGGGCCAGCTGGATGGTCAATCCCGTGAGGAAGTCCAACATGAGGAGGAGGGGGAGGAGCATGCCCAGAAGGCATCATGTGATTTCTTGGCATATGTAGAGGAGGGGGCGTCTCTGGGAATGGTGGCACATGTGGCGGTGCACTAAAATTTGAAGGAGTATTCTTCATTGGGAAAATAGTTTCTCGAATTCTGCTGGTTATGTGAAACAAAGCATCTTGCACAGATTGTAAGGTCCCGATAACCTGGTGGGTTTGAACCAAAATAACAAGCTCTTAAGAATTGTAACAATTTAATAAACTAACTAGCTGACTTTGCAAAAAATAACTAAGTTCTCCAACAACTCTAATTATCCTTTATTATATTTCCTAACAGCATACTATCAAGTTTTGATATACATGGCACCATAAACGCATGTACTTAATCGCGTAAATTACCTGTACAAGTTCTTCGTTGTGAGAAATGAACTTAATCTGTTCCTTCGAAAAGATGCGTATACTGGCACCTGTGGCTCTTCGCATTTCTGAAATAACATGGCCTCCCTTGCCCAAGAGGCACCCTACTTGTGGGGAACGCACCAGGAGCCTAGCAACAACTGCATTACTCTGCTCAAATCCAATCTCTGTAAGCCGACCATGAACGCGAAAAACAGCATCTTGAGTAGGAGAATGCTTTTGCTCAGAATTCTGCATAATTTTATATCATCTTTAGTTCAATTTCCTTAACAAATATCATAGAAATTATATGTCGGATTTATAATTTTCTTCAAGACTACTACAATTCTCCCAAAAGATGTCAACACACTCATAATAAAAGCTATCAACACAAGAAAGTTACCATAGTTAGAATAATTCAACAGCAACTCAGTAAACAATCTGAAGATGGACCCCAGTCACAAAAATCATACAAACATTGCCTGTCTGATTATAACAAAAGAATAATCATATTTTAGATTTTTTAACAAATATTCCTAGAATAGTTTAACACTGGAGAGCCAATTGTCTACAATATCGACATCATTCAAAGCGAGGGACTGCACACATTTCTGAGACACAATATCAAAGAGCCGAAACAATTTAAGGCTACCAAAAAAAAGTTGAAGAAGAAATTTTTGGCTAATTTACCGGTCTCTCCATGCAAAATGGCATCTTATGGACAAGTAATGTTTAAAGTGCAAATTAATAGATATCTATTAATAACTTCTCATACCTCTAGCGCAGATATGACGACCACACGCTCATCTGTATCAGGTCCAACATCAACTATTTGTATAGATGCACCTGTTTCATTTTGTAAAGCTCGCACCATAGAACCACCTTTTCCAATAAGACTACCAACTTTGTCATGCTGACACAACATCTTAAAGACAACCTCCTCTTCCACAAATTGTCTATGAGAAGGCCCAACGCTCTCAGAGCCTGGAAATGATGAATAACCTCTGGAATAATAATCAGGAGGACGGGGACCCCGTTGAGGATAAGGTGCGACCTGGGCACCACCAGGCGATTTTAAAGAACCAGAATTGTCTACATTATCCTGAAGACAACTCGTAACTGCAAGAAGGGCTTTCTTTACTGCATTATAGTTTCCAGTTATCTGCATCCACCATAAACCCCAACATTAGTTTCTCATAACGCACAAGAAATAGAGTGAAAAACTACTGCAATTTACAACAACTAACCCTTATCCCACTGTGCGGAGTTCGCAAAATAGATCAACAGCACCATAATTTTCTTGTCATAAAACATATTGATAGCCAAACTATTGGTTGCTGAATTTCTTTTAATAATTTTGCTTCATTTTTCTTATCCTTTCTCAATCTCGCCCTAACACTTTAGATCAAATGTGTGTTTGACATCTGACATGTGCCAATGTCCAACACTTATATTTAATTACTTTTAATTTCTAAAAATAGTATAAGTTTCTATCTGTCACTATCAATGTGGTGTCTGTGTCGATGCTTCTTAGACCTTTGGGCAACTAGGTTACACCTACAAATCTCCTCCATATGTCAAAACCACCTAAGCAAAAATTTAAGATTTTTTCCACTAGCTCAACTCCACACAACATTCTCATGTTGGTTTGTACTACCCTATCACTCTATCTCATACAGCATCAACAAGACAAGTATAATTTACTACAAAATAATGTCAACCTGCTAGCAATGCATATAGAAACAATATGTCTCAAACTGGTAATTAGTAATGGTAATTCAATTTATTACTGTATCTACTACAATTGTGCATTAATTAATATATTAGCTTAAAAAAAGAATAGAATTCAGATAAGAAAAAAGGACCTGAATGAATTCATCTCCAGGTAGAGGAATCGGAGACTGGTCCTTAGGCAAAACCCTAATCTGAGCTCCACTTTCTTGCCTAATCTTCTCAATAATCTTACCACCTCTACCAAGCACACATCCAACCTGATAACTAGGTGCAACCAATCTACACCCCACCTGCGAATTCGAAGTGTTATTCTCCTCATCCTTCTCCACCATTCTCTCAAAAACCCTAATCAAAGCAACTTGCGCAGGGGATTCTTCAGAAGGTTGTTCGGCGGCGGGGGAGATGATAACAACCATGCGGTCTTCGTCGGAGGTGGTATCTCCGGCGTAGTCTTCAAGTAGAATCTTGACTCCGTCGGCAGAAAGTGTGAGTATGTCATCGGATTTGGAGGCGGGACATGTAATGCGGAAAACGGTGTCGGATTGTGTTGGAGAAACATAGCGTCGCTTGCTGCTGTTTGACATCACGTCTTAGGAAGTGAAAGAAACCAGAGTGACTGCCACTTCCAGCTCACTTCTCACTGTTACTTACTCAGTTAGTTACAGGGTGCACCAACGGTGAATCACATACATCTTTTTTCTTACTTTTTTTTTTTTTGTTGCTAAAATTGTTGTTAATTGAAGCTAAATTATATAAGGGTATCTTTGGTTCAACTTCTACCATATAAGCTAAATTATATAAGCTAAATTATTCGGAGGGTTTTTAAAGTGTTTGATATTTTTAAAAAAATAGAATTAATCCTGTCTTAGAATTGATTTTACTTAATATTAGAATTTGTAGTCTATTATCTATCTATAAAAATCAATGTCCCTCGATTTTACCAAAACACCAAAGCTGATAAAATGCTTTCTTGGTCTATTGTATTGGGGTAAATTAGGAAACTCAAAATTATCCTGCACCACATTCATTTGAATCTGATGTGGCACTCCCACAATTTTTCACCACATTTTCAATTTTTTTTTTCCAAATAAATCCATGCCATTATGCCTCTCTTCCTCTTCCCCATGCCAAACCATAATTCGTTGCAATTCAATATGTCTCTCTTCCTCTTCCTCATGTCAAACCATTATGCCTCTCTTAATCAGTTTTCAAATTCAAATGGAACCTCAACAGTTTTTCACTCTTTCTTCATTGCTGCAGACGTGAGGAGTCGTTTTCCATTGCTTAACACCTTGCTGTCTCTGCGCTATTACGAATTCCTGCGTGAGGATGGCGCGCCCAATCGAGTATATCAGTAGTATTAAGATGTGGTTGAGCCTAATTCAACCCTACAAAATCGGCTTGTAGGGTGAGGATTGCCCCCACTTATAAACACATGTTCAGGCCATATATTGTCCGATGTGGGACTCTTAACACACCCCCTCACGCCCAGGACTAGACAACTGGAGCGTGGAAAATAAATGGTGGATGGCCCACTGGATCTTAAACGAGGCTCTGATACCATATTAAGATGTGGTTGGGCCTAATTCAACCCTACAAAACCGGCTTGTAGGGTGAGGATTGCCCCCACTTATAAACACATGTTCAGGCCATATATTGTCCGATGTGGGACTCTTAACAAGTAGCATTGACGATTCGAAGGATTTGTGGAAGGTTGCTGTTAGATGTAAGCA